CTTTGTCCTTCCTGCGGATTCTGTATATGGTCGGTGGCCTAGGAAGGTCTGCATATTTAGTGACCCAGTCGCCCTGCCGGAACTTCGGGCCAGATTGGAGGGTGAGCCTCCAGGCTAGGGGAAGAGCCTCCCTAAGCTTCTGCAGCCTGTCTCCTACGTTCCTTACACGTTTGAGCCTTAGTTGCATCCACTCGATTGTCACCCAATCATTTGTTTTGGGGTCCCATAAGTCTCCCACCGTAAAAACACCCTTTTTGGCCCACGTGAGCCATGGGGAGTTTTCGGTGAGTCTTAGTGGGTTACCGTCTTCGTCCACGATGTTGGGGTTACCAAAGAGCGGTTGCCTCCATATATCTTGCCACTTATTCAGGGCCGGTTATTGCTGTGGCCCTCTTTTCCTCCAGAGTTTGAGCATGTGGGACCATAGGGGATCAAGGAGCAGATCCAGCCTGGCTGCTTGTCGCGGGTCTGTCCCTTGCATTTGTCTCGGGGGGGAGGGTATTGACCAGTGCGCATTAGTCAACCATCGGAGCGGATGCAGTGTATTGGCTGCTGATGATGGTTTCGGGGCCAGGGTGGCAATCTGCAGGCAGGCCAGCTGTGTCCATGGAATGTCGTTACCTATCAACAATAATCAAAACTTCGAAAATCAGTGCATCACTCTCACGTTCTGGATCCAATATCCCCAGTCCCCCTTTGACCCTCGGCTGCGTGAGGACGTCCCAGCTTACGCGTTGCACACATCTCTGGGTTTTGGCGCTGTTTTTCCAGAGGTATGTGGTAAGTGCTCTTCTCAACCTGGCATATTGTTGTTTGTTCAGTGGCCAGACTGTTGATTTATACCAAATGGCCGCAAGGACAACATTGTTTATTGCCAGGGCCCTTCCAACAATCGAGGTGTGCAAGCCTTCCCATTTAGCCATTCGTTCTATTGCCATGTTGGCAAGCATGTCCCCATGATCTGGAGGGGGCCCAAGTGCAGTTAATCTTACTCCCAGTATTGTGATGGCATCCTCCTTGCGTGCCCATGCTACAACAGGCTCAGTCGGTGGCGGATCCCCTGCAGGATGGAACCACCAACCTTCCGACTTAGTTCCCTAGTTGACTTTCATGTCGATCGCTAACGAGAAGAGTTGTATGACATGCGTAAGGGCGCGTATGCTGTCTTCGTCCGCTTTGATCAGAACTGTGAGGTCGTCTGCAAACAGAGATGTAACCGGAATAAGATGTTCCGGGATTTCTGGGATGGGCACTTTGCTGATCCTCGGGTGGGATCTGATTATCGAGGCGAGGGCTTCCATTACGATGACAAACAAGAGGGGTGTTATGGGGTCTCCCTGGCGCACCGACCGTTGTAGGTTAATCGAAGGCGACAGGTGGCCATTGAGCATGATGTTAGTGGAAGCCCTCCTATGGAGGAGTTGCACCCAATGACATAAGGTCGGGCCAAAGTTCATTCTGACCAAGCACATATCCAAAAAATCCCAGTCTACATGGTCATATGCTTTCTCAAAGTCTATGAACATGATGGCCGCTTGGACCTTTCGCTGCCTCGCATATCTGATGGTTTTGTTAACCAGCAGGATATTATCCTGGATGTTACGATTGGGCATAAAGCCCGTTTGATCAGGATGGATGAACACCTTCATGCGAGGCAGCAGTCTCTTGGTGAGTGCCTTGGCCACCAGTTTGTAAGGCACTGGGAGGAGGGTTATAGGCCTGTAATTTCTGATGTCCTCTCTATCCCCCTTTTTGTACAGGAGTGTGGTCACTCCTTGTCCAATCATGCCCCCGAAGGTACCCTGTTGCTGGACAGCCCGTATGTAGTCCACCAGGTCGTCCTTGAGCAGGTCCCAAAATTGCATCCAGAATTCTTTAGGAAATGAGTCGATCCCTGGTGTCTTCTCATCTTCCATATCTTGAAGCGCTTCCCATATATCTTTTTGAGTGAGGGGAATATCAAGTGCATTCTTTTGGGCGTCTGTGAGACGAGTGTGGACCGTTGTCAATAATTGTTCTCGCGCTCGGCGGACGTCATCGGGGGGCTTGGTCGGAGTTTGGGAGGTGAACAAGTGCCGATAATACTGGGCGGCATAGTCTGTTATTGTGTAAGCGTTGGTTGCTGCAGGGGCCGCTCCATCTAGTGGGTGTCTAAGTGTTGGGACAGTGTTGGCTCTTGCTCTCGCTCTTGCTTTCCTAAAAAAGGACCTCGACATTGTCCCATCTGTGTGTGCTCTTTTGATCCTGGCTTGGATCCTCCACGCTTGCGCTTGCCTTTCGAGGTAGTCCTGGAGGTGGGTCCTTGCTTCTTGCAAGCTGTCGAAAGTAGGATGGTGGAGAGGGTCGTCCATTAACTGCTCATCCCATTCTTCAAGGTCCTTCATCAACTTTTCGAGGAGGGCCTTGCGGTCCCTTGCGTGCTGAATTGATAACTTTTTGGATCTTTCCCTCATCTGAGTTAATCCCTCATTAAACCATTTCACATGGTCCCCTGATGTCGGTTTCTAGGACTGCCACTATTCCCAGAAAGTTTTAATAAGATCTTTATAACTCGTCAGGGGGAGCATGGAGGTGTTCAGTTTGAAAAATCCTGGCCCTCTCTTAATGTGGGTGTGAAAGGAGAGACCCAGTGTAACCATACGGTGATCGAAGGATTTGCAGGGGCTAATTGTTGTTATTTCTGCTGTGGTAATAAGTCCCTGCAGTTCTTTTGACACAAGCGTAAGGTCAATACGGGAGTTGGACAGACCCCGATTACCCCGGGAAGACAGACATGTATATGCCCGTTGGGCGGGGTGCAGCACTCTATACATGTCTTTCAGTTCTCTGTCCGCCATGACTTGTCTGAGCATAAGCACATCCGGTCCCATTGCAGCCTGCAGCCGCTCCCCTTGGTTCTGTCGCTGAGAGGTGGATCTGCGGTCCAGGTCTGGGTCGAGCGCGGTATTGAAATCGCCTGCCAGAACCAATGGAGCATCGTCTGGAAGTTGCTGGTGAAGAGAGATCCAGAATTCCATCCAGGTGGCGGGGTCGTTCGGGGCGTAGATGCTCACCAAGTAGAGCTCCTCTTCTTCGTAGGCTACCTTAAGGCAGATCCACCTACCCTGGCGGACGTCATGTTGCTCTCCTACTGGTTTGAGTTTCGAGGAGGGGGGGAGCCAAATCGCCACCCCTGCGGACGCCCTGTTTTTGGCAAGGGCCGAAAATGCAGTATATGGCCATACTGCTTTCGCTTTTGCCACGTGTGCTGGATTGTCCTGCAAGTGTGTCTCTTGTATACACACTGCGTCTGGCCATCTTCTTGTGATTGGACATTTAATCATATTAAAAATTGCGTCTTTTTTGTCTGCGGTCGCTTGAATGAGGCCATTCACGTTGAGAGACCGGACATCTATATCTGCCTGGGCTAACTTGGTTGCCCATTGGGGTGGCCTTCGAACTCGCGGGAAGACAGGAGGTGAGGGGGGGCGGCAGGCGGTTTGGGGGGGGATAGGCAGCGTGGCTTGGGGGGGCAGGGCAGGTTGCGCAGGGTCCCCATTGGGGGGCGCGGGGTTTAGCGTGTCAGAAGGCCGCCGTACGTGTGGGCTATTCAGTACAGTGCTCTGCATTCTTTATGATGTGAAAGGTCAGTCACCGTTGTGGCTCGTGCACCTCAGACTGTGGCCTTAAGTGGGAGCACTCCCTGTGGGTCTTCCCACTTGTTGTACTCGTCTAGTACGTTGTCTTCTAAGAAGGCCTGCATAAAGACGAGGACTCTACTCGCAGTCCAAGCCACGTTGGTCATGAATCGTGTAGTCTGACGGTCCATCAGTTGGCGGTGGTTGAACCATCCAGGGTCTGTTCTGGTTTTGTGAGCCCTTGTCTTGGGCCCAAACAGCAGCAGGACCGGGATTATTCCTTTAGGAAAGGAAAGGTTTTCAGGGAACACGGCACCCAGCACTTCGTTTGTATCTGTTTCCCCAACCCAGTATTTCAGTCTTTTGAGTATGGCGGTTGTGGAGGGGTTCCCCCTCCAGCCATCCACAGTGAGACCTGTCTGGGTCGGGGTGGTCTTCGGTTGTGAGGGCTGGTGGGCTAGATGCGTCGGAGGGCCCAAACGAAGGGTCCACTGGCCATCTTCTTTCTCCCGTCTGATCGGAAATATGATTACTCCCGGGGGCATTGACACTGGGGTGCTGCCATCTTCTTGCAATCTGACCAGCTCCCTAAGCTTCTATGGGCCAGTCCTCATCAGAGTGGGAGAGATCGATGTGATCATCATCATGAATGATTTCTATCCCCTTGGCCCTGGGGTGGGGAGGATCAGCCAAGTGGCTAACTCGAGCGAGGTGTTGGCTTACTTTTTCATGCCCCACCCGCGTTGACTGTTCTGGCTGAGTGTTTTGCTGTGTTCCAACGTTCAGCGCCCGCATTGGCCCATGTGGCTGACTCCCCTGCTGGGGCTCTACGGTTTGACATTGCTGTTGATCTTTGTTTTCGGGAAGGGTGTGCAGCGTGGTGCAGAGTTCCTGTACCAATGTCTTGGGCCAAGCCAGACCCTCGTGTAGGAACGCATCTTCCGGGTCCTCTGTTCGTGATTAGGCTCCTTCGGGGTTTTCCACTTTGAATCGGGACTTAGCGTAGTTCTCAATTTTGTCGACGAAGTCGTTAACTACAAGGACTATGGCCGCCCCCACATCCATCCAGTCAACTGAGGACACATCTCTGTATTTTTCGACTGTAACCAGCACCCTGGGGCTGTACATCAACACTTTTTTTGCCTCCCCCCAGTATCTATTGTTCAGATCCTGTCCCTGCTTGTCTTCCGCATCGAGAAGATCTTAGAGAGGGTCCAGTCTGTCAAAAAAGCCAGTTTTTGCTGGACTTCGTCGTTGGCAGTGAGGGGCGGCGGGTTGGCCTCTTCTGGCGGTGGGCCTCGCGGCGGGACTGCCTCTATCTCCATTTCCACGTCCTGTTGTTGAGACTGGCCCTGGTCCAACTGAGGGCGGTCTGGTGGAGGAGCCGAGGTATCCATGTCTTGAGGCTTTTGCCCCTCCTCATACCAGGAGGGGAGTGCAATGGCGTGGTGCGGTGGTTGGTATGGCAGTTGGCATTCCTATGCCCGATGTCTTTCCGCTTCTTGTTGCCAGAACATGTGCAGCTGATGTTGCTGTTGCTGCAACACTTGCTGCTGTTGACAGCATAGCTGTTGTTGCCATTGCAGCTGCAGGTGCTGGAGGATCTGCTGTTGCTGTATCAGTCTCTCCTGGTACTGCTGGTGTTGGTATTGCGCCATCTGTTCCACTAGGAGGCGCTGCAGTTGTTCCTCGCACACTCTTTGTTGCCAGAGACGTTGTTCCTGCTGCTGAGCGATCTGCTCTTGCGTCTGCTGTAACAGATGAATGCAGACTTGGTGGTGAACCAGCAGGTCTTGTTGTTGGATGTGCTGCATTTGTATTTGTTGCAGGGCCTGTGTCTCGTGTTCCTGTTGGCACTGCATCTGCTGGTGCAGCTGACCAAGGGATTGGTGTTGTTGATGCTGCAGCTGGTCATGAAGCTGATATTGTTGAGGCAGTTGATGTTGGCCGAGCGGATAGTGTTGTTGCGGTCCGTCCATGTGCAGGGGAATCACCTCAGTTGGCAGAGGTTGACCACCCTGTTGCTGTCCTTGCTCTTGTTCGTCAGGGCACAAGGCACAGTGGCTTTCACCTTTTCCCTTCTGGTCATGATCCATAGAACAGTGGCGGTGGCTTCTGTTTTCTGCCTCCGGTGGTCGGGGTGCATCCGTCCCTTCCATTGGATGGCCATGCTGCATTTGTTGCTGCTCGTGCAATTTCTCCATTCCTCCAAACCCCGAGCCATCATTTCTGCTGCTGGGCGACTCACCGTTGTCCCTTTCAATCAGCACTTTGCCATGGGCAGATGGAGTCCCAATGGTCAGGGGAGGGGGGAGCTGCTCAAACTTTCGTTCCCCAGTGAGTACTGAGGTAACTTCTTTAAGTTTTACAGTGCCTGACCCACACCCCGAAGGCAAGGGCTGGGGTAGTGCAGCTCGTGTAGTGGAGTAGTCTTTGTGAGACTCATCTTGCCCCCAGACCGTGGGAAGTGATTGCAACAGATGTTGTGGCGGTTGTACCTGCTCCTTCTTGTCAGGACGTCGTCGATCTTGCCCGAGAAGCTCCAGTATTGCCACTGGCTGTCCCGTCGGACCACTGTCTTGGGGAGCCCCCAGTGGCTTCTGCATCAACGCATCTAGGGGTTGGGAAAAAGTCGCATCCCTGGAGGGAGTTGGCTTTTTGCCACATTTGGTGAGGGTTCATCAGATTAGCGTTCTTTGTGTCTCTTTTCTCAGCTCCCACTCCCCCTGCTGCCAAGGGAGGTGCTTCTTCAGATCGGGGCAGGCGGTTCCCGCTCCGAGTGGTCATCTGCTTATCCGCTTTGTTGCCGTGATTGGGTTGCGACTGGTCCGACAGCCGGGGCTGTTGCGAAGGAGCCGGGATGTGGAGCTGAGTGTTTTTGTCACCAGGCTGCTGCTGGTCAGGTTGGATACAGTCCGAGAGGTCTGAATCACACCCCTGCACTGGTTGGCAGTCCCCCCCTTTCTCCTTTGATGCCAGGTTTTTCTTCGATTCAGTCGGGGCAGTCTGTTGGACAGTCTGTCGGACAGGTTGGTGATGGGGGCTTTGTGCAGAGTTCAGCCCCTGTTCTGCCTTGTCAGCACTGGCTCGATGGCCCTGCAGGTCTGAGGTGGGCGTTCGGTCATTTCCAAGGGGGCCCCTCTTACCCATTGACCTTCCTTCAGGCACGGGCGTCTGTCCGCGTTTTCCCTTTTGCTTAGGGTCATTGTGCAATGCAATCTCTGCCCCTGACGGATACAAAGAAGGTTGGCCATCTCCTTGCCACATCCATTTCCCCGGTCGCCCGTCCGCATATAGTCTGAGAGTCCACCCGTGGAGCTCCCTTTCTTCCGGGTACCAAATCTCTTCATCTGTCGGGTCAGGGATCACAAGACCCTTGATCTTTTTTTTTTTGTTATTCGGGCAGAGGTCATCAGAGCAGAGGTGGCCTCTTGTTTTACAGGCATAACACCAAGGGTCTTGCGTGTGACTAACAGGAACGGAACACTCTCTGCCTCCATGAGAGTATCTCCATTCTCCATTAAGGGGGAATGGGTATGCCTCATCCCACTCCACTCTCACCAACAAGGAGTCATCTCGCTTATCCAGGAATTGTGGCAGGTCTGTGATATAACCTTTAACATGAGCAGTATTCTCCAGGTCTGTGAGGATCGCCCCTTGCACACTCAGGGGCACAAACCTGAATTCAACCCAGAAGTTGGACTTCATTAGGTACTCTCTTCGCTCGTCGCTGGATTGCGGATTGGGCGGGGACCATGGTACCACCTGCACCGATTTTCCTCTGAAGAGCAAGGCCCTGTTTTTGAGGAGGAGGTGTTTGTCTGTGGAGTACAAGGCAACCACCGTGATGCACTCTGGACTATCCACCTCTATCAGGAAGTGATCATGGATCAGCTGTCTGTCCGGTTTTATGGACGCAAGTTTATCTGTTATCCATTTGATCTTGTCATTGATTGCATGCCCCATGTTCTCGGGCTGGAATCTGAAGTGCACCGCTTTGTGCGCATAGATCGTGTCCCTGATGGCTGTGGCTTGGGGTGGGAAGACTGAGTGTGGGAATATGTACCCATCTTTGACTTGGAATTTTCGTTCCGGTTCCACGTACAGTTGCTGGATAAAGTGACTCTTGAGAGGGGCGATAGAGTCAAGGTATGCGCTTCAGATTGCGCCGACGCTGAAAGGGTTTTCAGCAGTTGGGGCGGTGATGCTTTCCTGTTCCCCGATGTGGATGGGATATCTGTCGCAGCCCGACCCGAGGATACGACTTTATCTTTCCATGTTTCCTTCACCCCGCCTTGCTCTATACTTGTGTTGTGTTTTTGTGAATCTCCGTGTGCATTGTCAGTCAGGGGAGAAGCATCTTTTATCCTAATCCCGATTTTCTGGGGGGGTGTGCCCGCCGTATGGTCAGTTTTTGTCCCCCCCTTGGTTTTCATCTGCTGTGTAGGGGGAGAATCACCTGTCATATTGGAAACAATTGATTGATTGATCGCTTTTGTCGGATGTCTAGCTGCCAATCAATCGGTGGTAGATGCTTCATTGATCGTCATACTAAGCCTTCGGTGAAAACAAAACAGAAATCAATCTTTCTCCGTCAGACAACAGTTGTTCTGTCTTGTCGTAGGTCATGCCACCCCAAGCCTACTTCCCACCGTTTTATCAGTGGAGGGAGTCGTGATTACTTATTTTGGGTGTGGGAAGGCGTCCCGTTTGGGGGGAGCGTTCCAACCGAGTACTCAGTAGCGCAATTATCTGGGACGCCAGTTTCTATGGTCGTGTGATCGTCGGGTAGTGTACAGGGCGAAAGAGAGAGGGAACGGCGGAAGGCAGGGTGGATGGGCTGTGGGGGGGACTCGGAGCAGCACTGGTGACGGGGTAGGAGATGGGGTTTGGGGGGGGGGGGGTCGGAATGAGGAAACGAAGAATCGAGGGGGTCAACTCAGGGATCAGGGGGGACCGAGGTGAGCCAAGCAGGGTTCGATAGTAAAGGGTTTCACCACCCTTCGTGCCACGATTCGTCAAGACAATCGTTTCGCCCTTTGTAGCTTCGAGTTGTGCCTTACACTGCGTCGATCTTGTCTTTCACCTGTCTCGCTTGGTTCTTTTCCTCTCGCACCGCCACGTGGTGCCGTCACCTCCCATTCTCATCCCCAAGCCCCGCCTCCCGAATTTATGTTCGTGTATCCGAGTATGGCGAGTTTTCCGATCCGCTTCTTCACCAACTTCGAATCCGAGATGCCTTCTACTTCCCAGCCTCTCCTTTGCTGCCCCGTCACGTGTCCCGACCTCCTTGAACTCTTATCCCTTCCACCTACGTTTTATGTTTGTTCCCCACTTCCACTGTGACTGCCATACACACTCACACCACCACATCAGCCGTGTCAACTCTATCCCCTCCTTTCCAACCACCTATCGTCCGTCTCCGGGCTGATCTTCCACCACACTGTGGCCAATCCCGACTCCCGCACACAGTCACACCGCCACAGTAGCCGTCGTAACACTATCACACTGTTTCTAACCTCGTCTCGTCGGTCGTCAACTTTGTGGCCGTGGTCTTCTCAGTTGTCGCAGAGCTGTTCCACTTCGCTGTGCATTTGGCGCTGGCGTCAATACACCGGTTGCTTGCCACGTGGATTGATCCCACTCCGGCTCGTGTCTCACCGGGGGGCACCGATGCTTCAACCAGCGGGGGATGGTTCACCAATGTCGCCACCATCTCCCGAAGCTTGTGCGTTTCCTGGCAGGCGGGCCCTGCCGTCCGCGGGTCGCATTCGCGCTACCACCAAACCCCTATTCAGCGATGGTTTCACACCCCCCTTGCTAGGGTTACAAGGCAACACAAACTGCCCCAACACCGAACTCACTGTTTTCTGATGGACAAGAAGTATCTTCCTCCCTCGACTACTTCCTTAGCTGCAAACCCCCTAACAGGTTACAGGGTCACCGCCCGGCATCAGCTACATTGAAAGGGGTGGTTATGTCTTCCACCCTCGACATAACTCCAATGGCCTCAAACTCCTCTTGGTCACAGAGCCACTGCTTCAGCACCGACCAATGTCGCCCTACCCCGCCCTTCTAGTAGACTTCCTACCCTGAGCAACCCTTCCTCTACTGCACGAGTCCACCCAAAGTTCTGTTTGTTGTCTTGAAGATTTGTTTTTTGTTGGGCAAACACATGATTTTCCTGGTAGTGAGTGAGAAGAAGGTACTTGCTTTCCCAGTCAAGTCCGAAATCATTTCCTCGAGTTCTTGTGTTCCTTCAGGCTTTACAAGCTTGCTGGGATGCAAATCTTGGTCAGGAAACAAAACATCCCTTGAGCCTGGTGTGTCCACAGTTCCTTGACATACTATTTTGCCCACTACCATGCTTGCTTCACATTCTTCACCCTCCCTCTCTTCTCCATGACATCCAACCAGACCACACCCACAGGGTATGACAAAAATATCCACGTCCTTTGGCTTATTCACTTCTGCTTGACCCTAGGAGACCAAAGAAGAGCTTCTGTTGTTTATAACGTGTGTGCCCAAAGGGCGTGAGCTTACTGATACACAAATTACTTGTTGAGATGCCACTGTTACCAACAAAACACCCAAATTCAATGTGGAGGATGAAAAGGGGGTGGGAGGGTGGGAAAATCCATCCGCTGTGTACTATTGTCACTACTGATATGATTAGTGATTGTGGTCATCTGTAACCTAGTGATCTCTTGTGTTTCATTCCTCTCTTGTTGGCTGTTGGATAAACCAGTAGATGTGGAGCCTGAGGGCTCAGTCTGGTTACATGGCCTACTAATATGACCACCATAACTACCTTTTGGTGGACTTGCTCCTCCCTTATGAATGTGTTTGTGGGAACTCAGCTGAGAGGTTAGCCACTGCGACTATCTATCTCTAATTTTGTTCTTAATCAGTCTGTAGTTCGTCTCCTTTTTTGGTTTTTCTTTTTTTGGAGTCAAGACAAAATGGCTAAGCTTCTTTTACCTTAACGAGGTCTTGCAGGCAAGAGTTTCAAGGTAAATGCTATCATTTCGACTCCTTTTAGCCTTCCTTCCACCTTTTTTGAGGGATCCTCCTTCCCCCGTTCTCCTCCCTTTCTTGCAAGTTGTTTGAGTTTTCGCAGTCCATTAGTTACTTTAGGTTGAATTCCCCTCT